GAAGTTAATTGACATTGTTTTCTATTGCAAAATGAAAATGCTATTGAGCTATTCAAATACACGACAACATGTTTACTTCCGTCAGATTTTGAACACAGCTGAGGTAAGGCAGCAGGCCAAAAAATGCTCGGTCTTGCATTTAATGGAACCTAGGGCCAATTTGAAAACAACAAGAAGCGCTAAAAGAAGAATAACACCATCAAACACTCCACGAAACGAAAAACGTGGCACAACCTTTCTTCGAGGCAAAAGCGTGGATACATTCTTTCGTGGGACTGTTTCCAACATTACAGATCAAGTCCAAATATATCAAGCTTCCAGTTGCAGTAAAACGCTTTTGAAAAAAGCTGCCATTTCTTCAACATACGGCGCTAATAGAGACATTTGACTGTCAAGGGGGGCCCAAAGCCGGTGTGTTAGTGCATTGTGCATTGTGGCCGCTGCAAGGGCTTAGTTACGAAAAACTGCGGTTTCACCTTCTTTAGTAGAGAGACAAGTAAAGACATCGGCAAAGGCTGCGAACTATTCTGCGCCACTGTTAAATTTCTGGTGCGATCGGTTTATCCAATGAGAGTGTAAACTCCTAACGCCCGCCTGGCCGTTGTTTTATCGCCACCTGGGATACCATGCGGACCAGGTGGGCAACAAACTGATAGCCTGACCTCATGTTGGTACATGATTGCGAGCACTCGGCGTGGTATGCGGAACTCACGACAAATAATACCAGCGAGGCCATCCTCCATCGCAGAACGAAAACCTAGTTTTAGGAGCCACGCGAAGGCATCGCATGCAGGCGTGCAGTCAGCGAGAAGTCCACCCTTCATCGGCCTGGACCAGGCCATCTTCCGCGTGATCTTTACTGTTTTCATGCAGTTTTAAGTATGAGATGTTACGTGATATGGTGAGCGTATTGGCTAACATCTCGCACACCAACGGCCGCATGCGTTTCATGCATTTGCAGTTCCAATGGTAGTTATGTGTAGCATTCATGCATTATTGCGACCACAAGGTCACGGACCAGGTATATATGAGAGGGTGTATAGCCAAAAATTTATAAAACACATTGCAGGGCTCGAACAGCAGGCCTTCCCACGAAGTGCTACGCATGCATTGTATAATGTTTTTAGTGATTTAGGTTTAGTGGCTTTGATTCAATATCGAGGGCACTGACACAGACACTGGTAACCCAAGGTCCCCAGGAAAGGACGGATAAAATTATTGTTTGGACTATCGAGCAATAATTCTATCCCTCGTCAAACATCGTCCTCATCTGCTGTGTTGGAACAATGCAACGTTTCGGCCAGTTAACTCTTCGGCCGTCGTCAGGTACTATGATGTCCTGAGAATAACTGGATGGTGGTTGGTTATCAGCCATGTATGTGTCACAACCCGAGTTCTCTCGTTTGAATTGCTGGGGTTTGAGCTGGGGTCCAGGGTCTTGGAACTAGGATTATAATTGCGAGTCCAGTGTTAACTGAGGTAACCGATAATCCAAACAAAGGGACCTCGACTCATGGAGACACATGATTATGCCTATGGCCTTCAGATGTTCGCAAGCGCATTCTGTCCTCTTCTTTGCACAACGCTATAGAGATCGAAATGTCCTTGAACGGTTCTCTACAGACTATGCTCACCATCCAGTTAACACCCACAACCATGGATGGAGCTTTACATTTCTGGGTGAAAGTTTTGTAAAAGGATTAGGACGAGGCATCAGTATGGCGGATAGAATAAGACTGTTCAGACTACCGTCCGCGTCTGGTGCCGCGCGGACTTCAGATGCTCATATGTTCGTGTGTATACAACGTTGCGGCCAGTTGGTCTCCAGGCGCTGTGGAGCCCTGAGCTGGACGGGATGATGTTTGGCTATCAACCATGCCCGCATCACAACATGAATATCGTCTTGAAATTGCTGGGAGTCGAAGTAGTGTCTTCTTGATTGTAAGTTCGGTGCTTTACCAACTGAAGCAATACTGAAGAACGATGCGTTGGTGTTAGAACTTGATATCGTTTATCTCGCGGATATTTGGTAATTATTCCCACAGAGCTGGGTGCTATACTGGGCTGACGTCTATACTTGACTTACTGATCGGGTTGTTTAATACTTGTATGCTATGTTTAATGCCTCCTCGATCTTTCAGACTTTTCAGTGCTGCATCCTGTCGACGATGGCTACCTTATCCCATGCTGGACAGTGGTGGTTGGTTTACCATGCGTCTGGGGGTCCAAGTCTAGTAAAAATATGGCAGCAATGGCGACCATTTAACGACTAGCCCATAGAGTCCTATGTTAACATTTCCTTTCAGCCTCACGGCTTTCTGAATCTTCAACATAGATATGCATACGAAGTGCGATGAAATGGAGCTTAAACGATTTCTTTCAATTTAATGAGCCAAAAGCGTGCGCCCCGACACTCCTTTTCGAGCCATCAGGCAAAACGCGAGCCCACGCACACGCTGCTATGTCTAGGCGTGGGATCGTATCCCGTTGTCCCCAACCCTTTTTAGCAGAGTCAAGATAAAAAACGTGATTACGATCACTGACTTACGATGCTCTGATCCATTGTATATCTGTATCCACCTGTCTATCTGTCTATATATATATATATATATATATATATATATATATATATATTATATACACACATATACACACACACATATATATATATATATATATATGTATATATATATATACATATATGCATGTATATTTGTGCACCCTTGCACGTACTCACCTATAGCATAGTCTGCTTCGTAGCATGATGGTATGCACCTGTCTGGGATCGTCCGAATGGAATCGTCTGGGCTAGGCCATCCGACTATGCGAGGCCATGCTTAGGCTAACGAACGACGCTGGAATATGATATCCTGTCGTTTAATGGAGTACTCCACATTTGTATGCGATTTAGAACTGAAGTAACGATCTTGAAGATGCTTCGGTGCAGTTCACAGCGCCGCCTTTCTAAACACCTAAACCGCTCTGGTTTCTGCCATACACCCACGCGAATATGTGCAGACGTTTTCGGGGAGATCTGTCCAAGGTTACCCAGGCATCCATAAAGCCGTAATAACGTCATTCAAATCCTGTCATTCCATTGTCCATGCGGCGGTCAAGGCCAATAAGGATGCAATTGTCGAGTCGGTCGTATCTGGTGTGCGTGAGCACGATTTCCAGACGTAACGGCCGTTGACTGGCTCTCAGTTAATGTTGTGTAAGGTGCGACGACGCGATCAAACAAAGACGTTTTGAGGAGCATCTTCACTTAATAAAGAAATTGTTTTGTCTGGACCAGGTTTTCCACTTAAGCGTACAACAATTGTAAATGAGTACATATCTCATGTTTGCTTTAATACCTTCAAAAGTGAAACATTCACCTCGAAGATGCTTCGGAACCGGGCGTTGACAAACACATGATACCAATGGTCTCCAAGATAGTACCGCACAGCAAAAAGTTAGGACAGGTCGAACCAACAGCTGATTAGTCAAAGGTGCATTCAAATCACCCACGTTAAGACGCAGATATTGGCTGCAGATTCGTCTGTCAGAATATATAACGTGGCGCATTGTAAAATGGAACGACACGGCAATCACTTTGCAGATTGGTGGGCGGCGGACCCCTTGTCTGTACTCCACCTAGTTGCTTCACGTTGCAGAATCTACCGCTTTGCGAACGTCCGCGGCCTTGAGACCAGTCCTTCAAAACAACCGACCTGGCCAAGCAGCTGCGGCTGGGGCCGTAACGCCGCCTACTGTCGGGCCAGGCAGTGCGAGCGTGGGGTCACCGACCCCGCTGCGCAGAGCGGCCCGCCCGATGCCGACCGCGCCCGCGGCGGCGACCCCGCCCGCGCACGCGGCTGCCCACGGGCCAGCCGGGTGACGAGGAAGCCGGGCGGCGGCCGTGCGGCGCGCCGACCTTGAGCGGCGCCCGCCTCAGTCGGAACGTCTCCGTCCGCCCACCGACGACACGGCGCCGTTTTCCCCGTGTGACGTCACTAGCCGGGTGGCGTGGCCCAGATGAGCTTTTGGGGGGCCGGGTCGGGTCGACGGCTGCCGGTCCGGCCGCAGCGTGGCGATGACTGCGTAGACGATGTCGGAAAATGAGTGTTCTGAGGGTCTGGAACAGGGCCGCTGTACAACTTGACCCGGAGGTGGCAGCTTTTGGATAAGGTGACATTGTGAATCATAACTGGAGAATGCTCGCGGGGCAAATGTTGTATGAGTTCCAAGTCTCATCTATCCGTTCGCTTTGAATGCGTGCCGACAGCGCCGTGAATGTGGGACTTACGGCATTTCGTTAAGGGTAATTCGTGCAAGTACCATCATGCATGATGGAACTTAACATGCGTCCTTTTGATCGCTTACTTGACGTCAAAGTAGCGACTTTGCCATCACGTGAATGACTTTGAAATGCACCTTACCTGTTACTTAACCTTACCTGTCTTGTCACCTTACCTGTCTTACCTTACCGTACCTTACCTGTCGCCGTGTCACGCCGTTAAATGATATATGAAAAGCTGTCGACTTAAATTCTCCGTCCAAGTCGAATTGCTCGGTATATGGTTATTGTGTGAGGCTCTTCAGAAAATAATGCTGAGCAAGAATCCTGTGTGGAGGTTGCTTTCGCTCAAATCAAAAATAATAAAAAGCGGTCTTTCCTCTCAAAGGTGTAACAATAGGCCTAAGTCATCCAATTTCATCATATCTGATGCTTGCTTCGATATCCTCAAACGTGGAGCATTCCCTCAGGTACTCGCATGTTACGAGCATGCGCGAGTTACGTACCGAGTACCATGTCTGATCATGTCGGAGCACGATTTCTCCCAGTGCAGGTAACACAGGTGCAGAACAATCAGGCAGGTGAAAATATGATTCCAAAGCCGATGTCAATCATACACTGCACACTACCACTTGCTTCGACGATCGAGTCCTCACCGAGCAGGCAGCGCAGGACTGTGCTAGCGCGTGGGCAACTGCCAGCGGGTGGTCACAGCAACGGCATGTTGACGCGCGACCTCCGGACGTACGAGAGTCACGTGTTTCGTACGAATGCCCGGTACGGAGGCGACATGGACTGACTTCTGCTACTCCGGTGAGACGTCGCCCACTCACTAACCCACCTAGTCTTTAACGGCACGGAGTCTGTTTCTCTCGTTACCATGCAGGTCTAAGCCTGATTGATCCCAAGCATCTTGCCAGTTGCCCTTCAAACAGGCTGACAACAGTCGCTTGAAATTCGAGAACGGTGCTCGAGCGAAATGAGATTGAGGGCCGGCCGCTCCCTCGTTGACAGCAGCGTCGGTCCTTTCGTCTCCAGCGAGCCCGACGTGTCCGGGCACCCAGGCAAAAACCATGCACCTGCTAGCCTGCTCAAGACCCGCCACCCGCTGCAAGATGTGATCCACCAGGGTCTGGTCAGTTCTCAAGTGCAGGATAGCTGAAATACGGATCAATGAGTCCTACAACGCTACAAAATGTCCGCCTTAGTTCCCCCAGTAACGTAAATCAGCGTGGCCGGTAGCGTAAATCAGCGCCTCACTGAACGCGCATAGTTTGGCTGTAAATCGATCAGAAATAGGACAATGTTAAGCATTTCGCCCAGTTCTCACAAACAACACCACACCCTGTGTGTCTGTCTGCTGTTATGCGTATCCATTTATCTCATTTTAATTATCATCCATCTTATCAAAGATTAATTTATGGGTACTTACTATGGGGCGATTAACCGTACCAAAATATCAAGGCCACGCAGATTTCCGTGGTGACGGGCGTGGTTGATTTTTGTGGCGGCGTGCTGCTTTGGTGCAGCAGGTGTTACAAACGTTGTTCCCTTATCATTTCTGTGGGGCATCTTTATGAAGCCAGTGTCACATGGTGAACAGAACAGGTGGGCGAATCTCACCTGTCGACACTCCTCCACTCGCCTGAGAAAAATTAGACGAAATTTCCACTTTCTGAGCGCTCTTCCAGCGTTACTTGAACGTTTACTGGGCGTCGTACGAAAGCCTCTTGAAGTAGCATCATGATCAACAAACGTGTTCGCCTTTACCCATTCTCAGAACTTACGCTCCTAGCGAGATGAATGCAGCAGATCCAAGAACACGACCGAAACGACGCTCACTCTCCTGCGGCAAGCAAGGTAGCAACAGTTGCGTCAATACGCACGGGGCTGGTCCCAGCGACGAGTGCCGGACGCCCGGACGGCCAGACACGCACGGAGCTGGTCCCAGCGGCTAGTGTCGGACGCCCGGACGCCCAGACACGCACGCAGCTGGACCCAGCGACGAGTGCCGGACGCCCGGACGCCCAGACACGCACGCAGCTGGACCCAGCGACGAGTGCCGGACGCCCGGACGCCCAGACACGCACGCAGCTGGACCCAGCGACGAGTGTCGGGCGCCCAGACATGCTCTCCGGCGTCCGAGCCCCGAGGGTCCGCTTGAACACGCCGCATACCCATCCGACGCACGAGCCGGGAAGCCCGGCGGCCGGACCACGTGTGGTCTGAGCTCTAGTCGTATGCTTTGGGTAGCAGCACAGTTGACATGAAAGTAGTCGGAACATTGGTGCATTCACTGCTGGCGTTCGCCTAAAGTGCGCAGCATCAACTGGAGGCTAAAGCGCCGGGAACATGCCGGCAGGGGCGACGATCGCCACCGACCTTTTCCAGGGCGGACGGGGTGGGGGTGGGGAGCAGATCTAGGGCGTCCTTTTCAGATCTGGAGGATTCCCATCCCACGTCCTCTCTAAACCTTTTCCCTTAAATTTCGCCCACTTCTTTCAAACGGATCACTTAGCTACACAACCTGGCTACCTGGCTCTAGGCTTTCTACATTGGCGGAGCATGATAACTGTGACAGGTTATACACTTCCATGCGAGCCCAAATGCAACGAAAATGTCGCGTGAGTGTTCCGTGCCTACATTCAGGCTTCTAGCATCGCCCTATTTATACCTGCTGGAAATTCTGAGCAGGCTTCATATAAAAAGTTGCGCGATCCGTGCGTCTGTCTGCAAGGGGGAGGGGGCAGTTGGGTGTGCGCACGTGCGTGTGTGCGTGTGTAGAATCAAACACGGTCTAAAATATTTATGTTTTCATGCTAAGTAATCTATACTGAAAACCTATGGATCGACGATCTCTTTCATATTTACATTATCACGGGTCTCCACGCCTCCATTAGGTTCCTAGTCTTTCTTAAGGTCTGAACAGTATGTTTCGAGTAAAAGCGTGGTGCAGATAAGAAGCGGGGCCTGGATTGAAACGTGACAGTAGCAACACCATGCTTGCAACCCGAGTTGACCTCGCTGCACCCGAGCTAATCCCAGTGCACACGAGCTGACCGAACCGCACCTGAGCTGACCTCATTGTACTTGACGTGATTCCACTGCACCCTAACTGACCTCACCGCACTTGAGCTAATATCCACTGATACCCTCTGATGCCCTCTGATATCCACTTATACTCACTGATACCCACTGATAGCCACTGATACCCACTGATGCCCACTGATAGCCACTGACAGCCACTGATACCCACTGATACCCGCTGATACTGATACCCACTGATCCCACTGATACCCTCTGATACACACTGATACCCACTGATACCCACTGATACCATCGATACCTACTGATACACACCGATGCCCACTAATGCCCAATGATGCCCACTGATGCCCACTAATACCCACTGATACCCACTGCAACCCAGTGATATCCGCCGATGGCCACTGGTGCCCACTGACGCCCACCGATACCCACTGATGCACACTGATACACACTGATACCCACTCATGCCACCGATACCCACGGATTCCCACTGATGCCCACTGATGCCCACTGATACCTAGTAATGCCCACTGATGACCACTGATGATACCCACTGATACCCACTGATATCCATTGACACCCACTGATACCCACTGATGATACCCACTGATACCCACTGATACCCACTGCTCACGAGCTGAGCAGGCGATAGGATAGCTCCAAACGGCCGCAAGGTGGCCCATCCATTCTCGCTCCAGATGATAAGGCATATGTGTACCGGAGACGCCGCCCTATGATAACGTTTAAGAATGTCGAGAAAAAGCGGGCAAGCTTGTTGTTTGATCAGCGCGTGTTTGACTCCTCCATGCCTGCCAGTCGAAAGTGCTAATAACAGCTCATGTGATATAGTAACCAAACCGAATAGTTTTCAATGGTAAGCTTCCCTTGGAAGTGTTGAGAAAAAAACGATCAGGCTTGCTCTGCCAGCACGTACCTGACAGCGCCCATTCCAGCCAATGGAGAGCACTGATTCAAGTTGATGTTGCAGGCGGTCAGAATGAAGGCATTTAATGGTACTTTGTTAAATGAGCTTAATTTCGATGCAAGTTGATGTGGGCGTCGTTGCAACATGGACCACCGCTCATTCTCCGCCCATGCCCATCCGGAGCGGGCGACGAAGGACTGCATGGCTAGGGTAGGGTGACGACAGGCTGGAGCAGCGGGACCGCCACCACTGCATTGGTCACCCAGCCCCATATATGTGCGCACAAGGTTCCGATGGTGGCTGATCTGGGCGGCCAATGAGGTGGCCGAGCAGCGCCGCCACGCCCCGAGAGCGCACGCCGGCCGGGTCAGCGGCGAGCGGCCGCTCAAACGGCCGTGATCAGGCCCCGCTGACGAGCCGCCCTCCAGCAGCGCACGCCGACGAGGTGTCGCCGGATCACGACAGGTGAGGGGCGCGGATCAGAGCAGAGCGGATCCGGATCACGACAGGTAGGCATTCCGGATCATAGCAGAGCGTATCCGGTTCACGACAGGCGGGCATCCCGGATCGCAACAGAGCCTATCCGGATCACGACAGGTGCCATTCCGGATCACAATGGAGCGTATCCGGATCACAATCAAATTATCCGGATCAACACAGAGCATATCCGGATCACAACAGGCCATATCCGGATCATAACAGGGCGTATCCGGATCACGACAAGCGGACATTCCGGATCACAAGAGGGTATATTCGGATCACCAGTTCACAACAGGGCGCATCCGGATCACGATAGGTGAGCATCCAAGATCACAACATAGCGTATATGGATCACAGCAGAGCGTATCCAGATCACGGCAAGTGCACATTCCGGATCACAACGGAGCGTATCTGGATTGAGTAGTTCAGATCACAACAGAGCATATCCGGATCACGGCAGATGAGCAGTTCAGATCGCAACAGAGCGTACCTGGATCACGACAGATGGGCAGTCGGATCAAAACAGAGCGTATCCGGATCACGATAGGTGGGCTGTCCGGATCACGCCACACCAGAATTGCAACAGGTGGGCGGTTAGTATTGCGACAGATTGGCACTGCCCGCAGCTGCTTAAACGCAGCCGTGCGCTCGCGGCCTCGAGTTGTGTGCTCATGTGACGGTCACTCTACCGGCAGGCTTGCACTCTGAACAGCGCGTGACACACGCTGGAGACCCCCAGAAGCCATTCGCCGCGAGTTGGTGCTTTGCTAACTGGCGGCAGTTTATTTTGAGTGCGAACGTTGCACTTTATACCCGTGGACACATTTGACGCATTCAGGCGTGTACATGCATAGGGGAAGCGTATGCGCTCACATCGTGCTCTCACCTAAGCCTGTCACGGCACCCTTCTAGACGTGAAGTTGAAAACAAGCATTCCCATCGTGATCCTTCGGTGCAAACGTTTTGCGTGCAACTTTGTGTTCGCATACTGGCATCTTTCTATGCATACAACTGGTACATAAAACTTGTGCGAGCATGGTTTCTTAGATCACTATGGCAACATTGCCTGTAACAACCTACATGACGCAGACGCTCCGTTACAAGATAATTTGTTGCTGTTTTTTTACGATAGCTCAAGTACGCACGATCTTGCTCTTCACATCTCATCGCCGAAAAATGTGATTCAGCGCGTTAACACAACTATTCAACTGTTTCTTTCCATTACCTTAGGATTGGTTCTTTTCAGGGCGAGCACAGGTTTCGAATGGCACTGCCTATAGATATTTGAAACCCTGCTTCAATTGGAAACAATATTTTTCAGTTTCTGCTTTGTGTTAGTAAAAGAGCACATGTAAAGTCCATTGCTTAAACATTATACATATTTTCAGGCATCGTAAAGCGGGCTTGAGTGTTTCTTTTATTGATTTATGTAGGTTACTCCCCAAACTTGTCTTCGACCTTTCGTGCATGTAAAGAAAAACACGCTCTGGTATTCGATCTTAGCGTAATTACAAAGGCTACTAGTCTGTCTTCTCGGTTTCGTTCAGACGAATACTCGGCGGTAATCTGGCTCGAACTCTCTCACAGGTATGCGCTGCATGCGATAACATTACAGCACCCACACGTTTACCCGACATGACAAATGCCTGGCCTGAATACTGATGTGTCCGTGGGCCGCTATGACCGCGAGTATTCGACGGCCGGGATAACGAGGACTTCAGAAGCCCCTGACCTTGGTGTGCCTGGCCGCCAACACACAGCGTGCCGGGGTCACCGTGATTCTGAAACATGCACAGTTTTTTTTCAGAGGGAGGCTAAAACAGCCTGCATAAAATGCAAGGCTTTCTTGTACAGGCTGCTTGACCAAATATGACTTGTCGCAACATTTAAATTTGGGGGGAAATAAAACCCCTATCTTTATCACTATGGATAATGTAAGGCTCCCTAGTTGTCAACAAATTTTACACTACCCTACCCAAATATCGACACAAGCGCCGCAGTGACGTCACACCGCTAACATTTGTTTATGGATGGGAATACAGGCAACCATACTTACAGGAAGGATACCTATCGCGTGCTCTCGGTCGCGCGCGCTCGAGTGCTAACCATAGCCCGTTTTGTGGCATTGTGAAGGACTGATTCCACATCCCAGCAACTAGAGCAGATCAAAGCGTGAGCGTAATGACAATGGAGACAGACGCGCGTCCTACGAACCGCTGAGCAACCCGGCCTAGCTTGACTGATGCATGAGTCAAGAGTTGATCGAGAAGCAGCCAGATTCATCCCTTCTTGAAAGCAGTCCCAAATGTGACATGTTATGGTCTAAATTACGAGAAGTTAGGAACACAAGGTATGCTTTGCTATGCTTTAGAAGCAATCGCCAAACCATGCAAAATCAGTCAAAAAATTTGCTCGGAATTACCAGGTCTGACCGGGCTCGCAGTCAGCCAATTATCATGTCATGTCATGCCTGCACTAGTATGCTAATACTTAATTGGAGAACATCTTTTTGCCAGGTCTCGTGAAAATAGACAGTCACCGTGCGGATCCGACCAATTTGTACGTTTTTGCTGAAGTGTCTCGCTTCTTTAGCCTAGTTTTTTTTAGAATCTACATGACGTCAGGCGAAAGCTACAAATCTGTCCCAGAATGTAATTTTGCATAGATACTGTCCCAATGAATCATTATCAAATCTAGCCAATTTACGGCATATTTTTCAAACATAAAACCCCTAAATGTCACAATGATACCATCTGCATGCTGAGACCAGGTGCTAAAAAGGTACCGAACGTGTCAAAATGCAAAGAAAAGGCCAAAACGGCGGTCTTTGCAGTGAACCATCCCAGCATAATGAAAGAACACATGTCCAGGATCTAGATATATTCAGCAACATGTCCCCATCCCAGGCATACACACTACACAGATTGTTGGACAGTCCCCTACGCAAAATTGGGTATGCGTTATCAACATGCTTCAACCTAGGTAAGTAGCCAGCTACTACACACGCTTTGACTCAGGAGTGTAGTTTCCTATTCAGCTGGGAGGTTGCAGCCCCCCCCCCCCCCTCCCCCTCCCTCAACTTAGGGTCCAGCCTCCCAACTTTGGGAAGGAAGTGGGCCAAATCTGGAGAGAAACTTGTTTGCTGGCATATTTTAGGGAAAGGATGGGTCGCTTTTTACTGTTCAGCCTCCCCCCCCCCCCGAACTCGTTCTGTGAAGCTACGTGCCTTTGCGCTTTAACTTGTTCACGGCGCCAAAACTTGGATATTTTTAGCCGAGTGGGTAGACCACCACGCTAAGCCTTCGTGAACTTTTTAAGGCTTTGATTCTACTCATTACATTTATGCTACTCTTGTCTGCTGATCAAGTCTAAGCTGGCGCCCAAATTCAACACGATTGTATGATGCTGTGCAGGGTTTATAAGGTGGGGTTGCTTTTTCAGTAAGCGTACAAATTTTTCACGTCGAGAAGTCGATGCAGTGAGGGAGAGGAACATGTTGAAGACAAAATTAAAGCGGCCCTTTAAAGAACTGAGACATTTAAGTGGTCCTACGAAGCGTGTTCAAAATGTGTTTATGAGAACAGATTTTGAGCGCCGAAAAGGGTCCAAGCCGCTATAACATTTTTCTACCTCTAGTGCTCTAATGCACGTGAGCTTTGTCGCAATCGTTGTTTCGTGGAAGAAGATGCTAAATATAATGGTATGGCATGAGAGCTTTCCAGACTCTTTAACCAAGGGCAAATGTTGATATGAATCTCATATGCCCGTGGCTAGTGCGCTCTCTTTTGACCTCTGAATGCAGTCACTTTTCAGGTGTACAACTCAGGGTCGCTGAACGCTTCGTGCGCATATGAGCAATCAATCTTATAGCATGCAGTACCATCCCAAAAAGGAGCGGCAATTTTTACTCATAATTCGTTTCGTGTTGCCGTATCCGTTAGGGTACTCTTTAAATTTCCGGGCGGAAAATCCTTACTCCGCACAGGATTTTCTGACGTGTGCATCGCTCGTCACGCACGCACGCACGGGTTCTAGCGGGGTGCGCATGGGAAGTCTAACTGGTCTGCTGTGGTTGAGCGCATAACGTTAGCTGGACTTGCAATTCCAAGTCATGCGTGACAATGCTGGCAGGTGGAGCTTAAGCTGCATGGCGAAGCCAAACGTTTCACCGTCTACTAAATCGCCAAAACCCTGGTCTACCAGCTACCAAACCACCAAATTACGAAACACATGGCTGTGTTTAGTCCTTCACATTCGAGGCAACCAAAAAAGCCAAAAGCGTGTGTACATGAAAACATCATATTCAATGAAGAAATCTTCTCTGATATCACCGTTTTCAGTAGTCTTCCCAATATGCCGGTGGTCACCAGACCCACTCTGACCCGTTCGTGACCTAACAACAAGCGGCCGGTCTTTGCCTGACCCCTGACTGCCAACAGTTGGCCGGCCTGTGTCTGACCCCGGCGCCCGCTGGCAGGATGCGGTCGCAGCTGGCCGGTCTCCTGATGCTGGTGGCCGCCTGCGGTGCGGCCAAGCTGCCGGACACGGCGGCGACCACGCCCGTGCGCTTACCGCGCCGCCTGCCCGCCTTCGGCGACCGCCTGAGCGCCTTCAGGGGCTTGCTGGGCCCCTTCAGAGGCGCGGTGCCCCGCCTGGCGGGCCCCGTGGCCCTGCCGGCGGTCCGCGCGCACGCCGGCCGGGCGGGCGCTACGGCCAAGGTGCCAGCGGCCAGGGGCCCCGTGCCTGTGTTCGGCCTGCGACTGCCGCCAGCTGACAGCCGACTGCTGACCAACTTCAGCTCGCATTGGCTCCGAACGCCATTCTCCTACCAGTATGTGATCAGGTGAGCGGCGCCGCGCACCGCCGGCGAGCACGCAGTTGTGTTTTCGTGCGTCCGTTCTCTGCGCACACCGATGCTTTGTGATGATCGAGAATCGATTCGGCCACTCTGCGTGATCGAGTACGCCTGAAATGTTAGCTCTTAAAATTGTGTGCATGACGTGGATGTTACAAAACGCCCTCGTCGGACATGCGAAGGCTTGAGGCACTCATTCTAAAACTTCATTCTTCATGAACCGTGCGGCTTTCAACACCGCGGAAGCGTCGGGGACAACTATAAACGCTGTCTGTCCACGTCGTTCATGTGTTGCAAAGGAAAATAGATGAAGCATAAACCTCAGGCATAGAGATGGATAGTGTTTGTCCCCGTGACCAGACTGTAGACTAAGTACCTGACCTGAATATGGGGTGATTCTTAGCCTTTTTAGTCAGCCAAGTCATACAGAATATTTTGTTTGCAATGCTCTCCGTGCCATCATACTGAAATATTCCCCCGGACTGTTTCCCTGCAGCTCATCCCGCTCAGTCTGGGATGACCTGGGCAGCAGTTCACCCCGGATGATGCTGACGATCATGGAACTGTACACAAAAAGTAGTCTAGAAGCTGGGTCATTCCTTGGATAAGAAGCCGACCACGGATAGGAGCATTTCAACACGGCATCCCTTTATTTGACGAGGGCAGGTTTTTAGGGTAATTATGTGGCCATGCGACAAGCCTGCAAGTGCTAAAGTCATACAGTGTGTCGATAAGGAACTAGGAGTAGATGAAAATACGCGATGACGTCACGAAACCTATTTTTCAACTTGCTCTAGCCGACATAGCTTAGCGTGTGCTGGTGTATAATGTTGAGGAAGAGTATATCGGTAAGCTAAATGCATATATCTTGTTAAAACAACATGGGTGAATATAGCATTCAAGGTTACTAGGTACTTACAGCGACTTGTATTAAACTTTGATCTCATTGTCTGGAAAACGTGATGTCTATGATTTTACTTCAACCGCTATGCAACTAGCACCTTCTACTGCAGCTCAGCCTGCTAAATAAATCACTAGGACCTTTTCTAGATCGGTCGCAAATCGAATTTGAGCATTGGCGGATTACGTACGGCGGCACACCATGAGCCGGTGTCGGGTGACCGAGCGCGATCGGACGGCCCACTGTCGGGTACTGTCACAGCGACCTGGAAACTAACCGGACCCTGGAACAATGCATGCATAAAGGATTTGATCAACCCTACTTGTCTGTCATCCATTCCGAAGAAAGAGAGAGAGAGAGAGAGAGAGAGAGAGAGAGAGAGAGAGAGAGAGAGAGAGAGAGAGAGAGAGAGAGAGAGAGAGAGAGAGAGAGAGAGAGAGAGAGGAGAGAGAGAGAGAGAGAGAGAGAGAGAGAGAGAGAGAGAGAGAGAGAGAGAGAGAGAGAGAGAGAGAGAGAGAGAGAGATTATGTTTCGACGACATGGTGTGCAGCTATATGCCATCAGCACAAAGAAACGTCGTTTTCCAAAAGTTAAATCACTGATCATTAGTTCCTGTTAGTGGATGTGAACGCAAAAAGTTACGTATGTGCACCGTAGGTTTTTTCATCTAACTCGTCACTATAAATGTTTCGCGAGGCATTCATCCCTCACGGGACTTCTTCGGTTATTCGAGCAGCTACACTTCGGTTGTTCGAGCAGTTATTACGAGACGTGTTTCCCTAAGGCTGATAACGACTGTGGCTGCGTGTTCCCTTCAGCGCTCGTGCGTATATTAAGCAGTGTTCTGAGCATTCTAGCTCTCGCAAAGATGAGAAGTGTGTCTACAAATGAAAAAGAAACGGTAAGGTTATGCTGCATGGACTACAACACAGCTTGTAGACTTATTCGTAAGATAGTGTTTGCACATATCCATAACAGATAACCCATGATTGAAAAACATAAATTTGTACCTCTTCGTTTTGTGCTCCGTAGAGCATTTCATAAACCGCGTCCAAGATTTATCTGTTCACTAACCAGCGATGTGGTTGGTGCAGCTGCGAGACATATCCTGCGGCACCAGGATTTCATTCTGCCCTGCGTATTATATGTTTCATATTTCATATTTCATATTATATGTTTTCAGGCGTTTAACGGTGCCTCCACTTTGATGCATGGACCTTCCCCATGAAACGAGGAAGTGCAATACACCTTTAAGGCCAAAATCCTCCATGAGGCGACACATGCTCAAGAAGTTTTATTTCTTTTACAGTATGTCAGACGGTAAAAGGTTAAGCAATGAACTTGTTCTGTACTTGGCGGAAACTTTCGGCATCGGTGGCGCCTCTACCCGGCGAGTGTGTACTGCGGCTGCTGAATGGGGTTATCTATCACGGATGATATAGATAATTTTGTTGACGAAGTCATTAGCCGTTTTGGAGCATACCACAAGTAGATGTGTATTGTTAAGTTGCTACTAGCTGAAAGGGGTTTTCCCAATGGAAGGTTCAAAGAGGTATGCCATATTTTTTGGTACTTTAACTTGTTGTTAGATCAGATGCTAGATGCAGAGGCTCACAGACGCTTCTTATATTTGGTGAACAATGCCAGTTGTCTCGAAATCCTGAAAAGGTCAAAAATTGTATTTGAAGCACCAGCTTCTGCGAGAAAAGGTTCATTGGACCACCTGCTCACTTCTATGAAAGTAATACAGATAATTTGTTTTGCATTTTCCAACACGTGTGTACTGTTATGTGTATAGCACACTTATTTTTTCAAAAGGTTTGTGTAATAGATCCTACGAAAGCTTGAAGCACTGTTTACAAAAAGGACTTATGCGAGCGTGAAGGCATTGTCCCGCGAACACAACGAAACGTTATACTATAACTTTCATCTCTCTCTTATGACGTTTACTGCGGTGTCTGTTTTCACTTCGGCTTTGGGAAACGGGGTATCGCTTGGTAGAAAATGGCGCATCGGCTCAAACTTCAGCCGACGCGTTTGCCAATAACTGGCGCTTGCCGCCCGCTCTGCCAATTACAAACGCTCGTTTAGGCAGAGCAAAATTTGCAGTCGTGGTGGCGACGACGGTCGCGACAACTGCGGAGAAGAAGCATAATGCTGTTACAAAGCGTTCGCACCGCAATTTTTACTAAAACATGATTGCATTTTTTCGTATTTGGTCTTGACGACGCTGTAGTGGCCCCACCCAGGGCTCTTATTACACTAAATGGTGCTGAGGTTTCTTTAGAGTGTGGTTTTGAAATATGCCCCATAGTTGGAAAATTCCCTTAAGACTGCGTCCTGTGCGATCAAATTATAAGTTTCTGGAGAAAAAAGCAGTAGCCAGTGGACAACCGTTTCGTCACACCTTTCTCGACAGCACCGAAATTCTGTCGTCCCTTCTTGAGCCGCTGCGTTTTCATCAGTTCCCCTGCTACGGCGTACAATTAATTCACATGCGCGGTGCCGTAGACAAACTGAGGAATGATCTGAGCATATGTTTAGGAGTTGTGCCGATTTTTGGGGCAGTACTGTATACAAATGTTATCACGATCATTACTGCATCCCATTAACACAGACATGTGGCGCGGCGCAGGGAACACGCCCATCCCGCCTGGGAAGCATTTGTTGGGACAAAAAAAGCAACAAACTGTTCTCTTATGAACGGCCATGAATTTATTCAGCCGTAGACATCATTATGTGCAATTGTTCCAAAACGCACCCTGGAATCATGATCACGAGAATAATAAACCATGACTTAAATATGATAAGCGAGATCATGATATCGCGATCCGGGATCACACTTTCGTGGCTGAGCTCGATCCTGCCAGCAATCCTGAGCTTGTGGCCACGAATTCTGTTGCTGTGACAAACCCATTCATTGATGACATTGGACAATTATTTGAAATGGCAGGTGGCTTTGTTTTTTCATTAAGCCGTTTGCGATTATCACAAATTTCTGTAATACGTTTTAGAAAGGAGCTCCTCTGTTGTAAACTGTCGGTGATTTAGCGCAAACACCTGCTTGTTGCTTTGTGCTTCAGGTCAAACAACTCAACAAATGCGAGTTGTTCAATGCATTTGCGGGCAACATTATTGCCATAGATAAGATGGTAGTGATAGCCTTACTCCTCGGAGAAAAACCAGGAGAATGGAGATATAGATGGGCTGATATTTCGGCAACGCACCTTTATCGAAACAATAGCAGAAGTGAATTAAAAATTGCCTGCCGATGATCTTACTCGATTTTTCAGTTTTTTTTTTAAAAATAGCAAGCCGCAGCTTTTGCAGGACACCAACATTCAGCGGATTAAACAAAGAGCGATCGCCAGCCATTACCACGATACAGTGCATATCTAAGAATAAGAATACGTGAAAATACGTGTGCATGCAAACGAATACAAGTAAACGGGCATCATGCATCACGATTCATTCAAACATGCAATCCTGCATGTTTCTTAAGGACTACACATGTCAACAAATGATGTTTTTAATGGTGACAAATGGTTTGCACTACACTCGCCCTAACAATGCTACAGCGAGTGCGGTTGGGTGTTTTTCCTCAACCCCTGGCAATAAAGCTCTTCACTCTCTGACCCTCCCGGAGGCCGCGGCTGATTTGCCCGGAGTCGGTGTCGAATAGCAGGCATGCTGCATCGTATTCCATGTGTGCAGTTTTAGACGTGATGGCCAGCGCGCAAGGCGATTTTGCTCCTGGTATAGGCCTGATAAGAGAACAAATAATGCAAGTTTAGACCAGTTATTTGTTTCTTCCATGTTGAACTGCAGCTCAACTCTGTCCGATGCTTAATACGCGATCGTGTGGGGGGGGGGGCAAATTGACCCCCCTCCCAAAGGTTTTTCCAGAACGGTTTGGCATGACATGACATGACATGACATGAAGGTCATGATCTAGGAAAATCAAACTTTGACTCAAGTGAGCTCACGCGCAGGTCAAGACACCCTGTAAATTTGGTGTCTCTAGCTTTCTTAGTTCCCGAGATCTCAAGGGGTAAAACTGACCCCCCCCCCATCCGAGCGAAGGGTATCTAGCCGGCCACCCGGGCGCGTGTTAACGATGTGCTGCGAGGACTCGGAGCGCACGACTTTATACGTAAGGTCCATTAACACGCACGTGTCATTCAGACACGTTCCTAAGTTCCCGCATGCTGTCAGAAAGACTGGTCTAAAGATTGAAATGAATGATCGCAAGGCCACCGTCAGAGTTCCCGGTGGAGTGAGCCGATCGCGCCCGGTCCCCCGACACCGGGCCAGTCGGCTGCCACCGTCAGAGTTCCCGGCGGAGTGAGCCGATCGCGCCCGATCCCACGACACCGGCCAGTCGGCTGCCACCGTCAGAGTTCCCGGCGGAGTGAGCCGATCGCGCCCGGTCCCACGACCCCGGCCAGTCGGCTGCCACCGTCAGAGTTCCCGGCGGAGTTAGCTGATCGCGCCCGGTCCCACGACCCCGGCCAGTCGGCTGCCACCGTCAGAGTTCCCGGCGGAATGAGCCGCTCGCACCCGATCCCACGACACCGGCCAGTTGGCTCATGGCGTGCCTTTGGTCCTCCATTGCATGTCGATTAAAACAAACGTAGAAGGTACCGTGTTTACAGATAATGGGGTCAAAGGTCAAACTGGGTCGCTATATGCATTTAGCTCAGCTTAAATTTGATATTGACGTTTGTTTCACAAAAAAGACATACATACTTTGCCTTATAATGCACCTTTCCCAAACCCTTGACTTCGCAAACTGTTTTCGCCAGAGCAAGTTGAAAAAGGGCTTGTGATAGAGCACTCCCCGGATTGAGTTTTCAGCATGCGGTCCTGTCCAGTCCGGCAAGTGGCCAGTGATAGGGCACTCCCCGGATCGAGTTTTCAGCACGCAGTTCGGTCCAGTGCGGCAAGTGGCCAGGTTCGTGCTCCACATGCTCAGCCTTTGAGATGCATTTATTAGGTGGGAGAGTGGGTAGAACGTAATCTGTGAGGATATAACTTTTTCGGGCAGACACCTGGACGTGGATGAGATGAAGCAATACACGTAATCTGAAGCTGGTGTTTAACTCATAAACTTGACTGAATGACAGGTGGCTGATTTGCTAGGCAAACAGAAGCTGTAGTGTTGCTATGGGAGTTAATTTTTCCCCCAGACGGGACCTTGATTTCAAAACTCTGCGGTGTGCTTTCTAGCATTAAAACGTGTTTCTGCCCCCCCCCCCCCCAAAAAAAAACATGCAATTTAATATCACCTACTGGGTTAGAGGGATTGCTGGCAGCATAAGAAGAAATAGTAGTTGCATTATGTTCATAACCATTGAGTGATAATGTGCATTTGAGTGATTTTCAGTCCGTTCGATCCCTGTAAGCTGGCAAATTTAAGAATCTCGTCCGGCCCTTGTCCATGCTTTGGTGGAAATTTCTGATCCGGTCCAGTTCGGCCCGTAGATGAATCTACAATCCGTCGACTGGTCCAATCCGCGAAGTGCTCTAATTCGTAACGTCATCGCGTTTTTTTCATCTGCTCATATTATTTTATCGGTTCGCCGTACGGCTCGAAAACTTGCAGACCCGTCTTTTGCACGCATACTCACCCTATGAACGAGTTTTTGTCAAATAAGAATGGCCGTCGTCTTACCCTCCGGTCGATTTTTTGTGAAATGGCCCGACTCCAACATGGTCAATTCTTCCACTCCCGCTGTAAAACAATACTTTCGTACGTGCGACGCAGTCACGAAGATCTACTCCAACATGTGCGCATCCCGTATATTGGAACCCTGATGCATTCAGAGCTAAATTGCCCTGACGTCATTCGCATTTCTAGACCATGCCATACCTAGGCGCCTCACCATCTGGCCTACGAATCCATTGTTGACATGCAAGGAAGTAAAACGGTTCGCTCATCAGTGACGATCATGCGGACAGCGCTCTGCGCACTGGTTGCATATCGTTTACAACTTGGCCCGCTATTGGCTACACTATGACTGCGGGCAGTGGCAGACGCGGCGAGCGGGCATTGCTCCCCGGCGGGTGTCCCATTACTGGGCCTTGGCGCCTCGGCCGACCGTGTGACCATGGCCTGACCTGACCCGCCGCGGCCCAATCTGGAGCTCACTCGTTGGGACCACTGATTGGTGTAGTCAGTTGGCACTGCATGGAATCGGGCAATCCTGTTGTGCAATGACAATGATACAGCTGCGCACGACCTTAGCCGAACGCCACCGCCGTCCACTTGCTCTCCGCAGCGCTGGATGATGGCCAGTCAACGGGCCACGTGGCACTCATTTTGTCACCGGCTTTTCGTCGATGTGCGCCGTGCTCGCGTGATGTGAGCGTTGCTGTGCTGCGGCCGAGGCTTTAGCCGAAATTATTATTAGACACTAAAATGAAAATCCTGCGTGAAACTTAAACCAACTGTAGCTTTGAATGTACTCGGGGTTTTCTTGGTCGCATTTTTCCTCGAATTACTGTATTACTTGTTCACAACGGCTGCCTGTGAAATCTGAACACCTGGAAGCGGACGAGACCATGCAATTCGTCTGTTTCTCCCACCGCCTTTCCTCAGATAAAAAGTATTGCGTGCTTCGAAAAGGACTACCCATGCGTACTTCGAAAGGGGTTTCCGCTTTGTATTATCCCAGTTTCTTCACACTATCGAAACGAGGCGCAACAATGAGTTATTTTCCTCATTACACACGATGATAAATCGAGAATAACGGACATAAAGCAGCGAGTCATCCTTATTTTTCGCTACCTAAGCTAGCGGAAATATAAAATATTGGGTACTTGCTCGCTGAACTACGACGATGGACAACAAAACCTCAGCATCGTAAAGGGAATGCTCAACAGTCATATAGGGTTTTGAACTGAAATAGCAATTTTGAAGACCTTTCAGTGCTGTTCACTATTCTGCCCTTCTTCAGACCTAAGCCCCTCTAGTTTCTGAGCTACACGCCCGCGAAAATGGGAAAGGTATTTCAAAGTCACCTTGGCATACATGATGTAATAATAACGTCATTTAAATCCTACCATTTCATAGGCCATGCGCGATCAAGGCAAAAAAAGAACTATAATTGTCGAAGCGTTCAAAGCCGGCCTTCGTGAGCGCAATTTCCAGACATAAAGACCGTCATTTAGCTCTCAATCAATGTTATGCAAGGCAGGATGACGTGATCAAATCATGACGCGTTGAGGAGCGTATTTACAAAACAGAGCATTGTGCTCTCTAGAGTAATCTTTTCCTCTTTAAAGGTATGCAAGTTGGTATAAGCAAGCTTGTTTTGTCATTCACGATGCTTACTTCAATATCTTCAAGTGTGAAACATTCCCTTTAAGCTCTTTTACTTTTTGCAGCTTATCGAAGCTTTGTGCAACTTTTTTTGTACATAAAATAAAGCACATTGCACATTCCAAATTCTTACGAAAAACTTGTTTGTACGTTAAGTATGCTGCAAAGAGCGAACGGCGCAGCTTTTTACTACAGGAAATGGTGTGGTGCGCTGCATGTGGGCCCAACATCCAAACTGAGTCTGTAATAATCTTTTCAAGCCCGCCTCACTTAATGTTCGTGGAGGTCTGAAAAGTGTCCAAATTTCATTACTCATTACCAGCGCCATGTCATTTCAAAGGATATTTAGTATCAGTGCTGTAGATATCAGGGACATTCGGACTCCCGGGATGTTAAAATGTTTTATTACGCCAGTGACTCTCACGGCTTGTACAATCAAAAGGGCATTGAGTGCGGCTGTTCCAAAATGCCTGGCGTTCCAGTCCATGACCATGGCCATGGTGGTGACAGGAGTTGATGCACTATATACGACCACCCCTGCCAACACCAACCGTCTGCCCAGGCTTCCTGCCGGGGTCACCATCTGCTGACCACCACCAGCCCAGTCCCTACCGAGACCACGACCACCATCAGCCCAGCCGTGCCGAGACCACCATCTGCCGACCACCACCAGCCCAGTCCTTGCAGAGGCCATCTCCCAAGCCAACCACGAGGCTCCGGCCGTTCAGCAGCGGGACGTGACGCAACCGCCGGTGCGCGCTGACTGGGGATCTTGTGTTTCAGGCACCCTGGCGTGGTGTACGGCAGCCCTCCGCCGCTGCACCCGGCGCTGAAGCTGTGGAAGCCAAACGGTGGGCGGGCGCTGCTCCAGCCGCACAGGCATGCTCCGACCGTGCCGGCAAAGGCCGACCCCCAGCCGCTGGCGACGCCAGAGCTGTCCCCGGCCACATCCGGGCAGCAGACGCTGACGCCCAAGCAGGCGGCGCGAGCGCCCTCGTACATCGACTACTACATTCCCCCCAGTGGCGCTCAGGGCCGTCATGTTCAGAGCATCGGAAACGGCGTTAGGAACCCACTCGCGCTGTTCCCCAAGATCAACGAGCTCACTCCGCCGGACAAGGAGTACTTGCCGCCTCCCGAGGCGTCCACTCACGTTCACCCAACGCAACAGCACAGTACTTTTGTACAAGAACAGTACCTCCCGCCGAAAGAGGGGCACTTACCACCTCCAACAGAAGCGCATGTGCCACCGCCGACGGGGGAGTACTTGCCGCCGCCATCGGTGGCGCAAGTGTCTGAACCATCAGGGGAGTACTTGCCTCCGCCATCGGTGGCGCAAGTGTCTGAACCAACAGGGGAGTACTTGCCGCCGCCATCGGTGGCGCAAGTGTCTGAACCAACAGGGGAGTACTTGCCGCCACCATCGGCAGCGCAAGTGTCTGAACCAGCAGGGGAATACTTGCCACCGCCATCGGTGGCGCAAGTGTCTGAACCTACAGGGGAGTACTTGCCGCCGCCATCGGTAGCGCAAGTGTCTGAACCTACAGGGGAGTACTTGCCGCCGCCATCGGTAGCGCAAGTGTCTGAACCAACAGGAGAGTACTTGCCACCGCCAACGGTGGCGCAAGTGTCTGAACCAACGGAGGAGTACTTGCCGCCGCCACCGGAGGTGCAAGTGTTGGAACCAACAGAGGAGTACTTACCGCCGCCACCCGCGGAGCATGTCTCACCACCGGCGGAACAGTACCTGCCTCCTCCACCAGACAAGTCACCACCAGAGGATCCGCATATACCGCCATCAGCGGCGCATTCCCTGCCGCCATCAAATCCGGAACACTTGGAGCTTCCCAAAGATGAATATCTGCCTCCACCCAAAGAGCAGGCCGTCGCACCGCCAGCCGGCGAGTACCTGCCTCCAGAAAAGGAAACCACGGCGCCAGAGCAGGAGTATCTGCCGCCGCCCGCAGAGGAGCACGTGCAGCCGCCCAAGAAGGGTCATGTACCTACAATTGAAAAGGAGTACCTGCCTCCACCGGGTGGGCGGTTTCCGTCGCGGTCATCGGGTCACCAACGCAAAGTGGCTTCCACTACCAAATATCGTAAGCTAAAAGGTAAGCCACCAATGAGACAAAATTAGCCCGAATGGTTCTTTCCACCGTAGGAAGCTAGAGCAAAGTATTTAAGTCTGCTGCACAATGTGCGTAGCTTCGTTCCCGGAAATAATATGCTATAACAATTCTCCGTTTTTAAGAAAAGCATGCTCTGAGTCTGTCATTCTTTCAGTCCTTCACCCGGTGACGCTAGGATCAGGTAGGCTGATTTCTTTACGCCACTCTTCAATTGCGTATACCCAAGACCACGCTTTACTGCATTCTGGGTAGTGATGCTGTGACGTCATCATGGGACTAAGTCGTATGGCACCAGCGCTGTGGCGGCTTGAAAATACTTTTGTTTCCGGCTGATTTTTACTAAATATCTCCGAAAGCCGAATTTTTTGACCTAGCACTATCAATGTAGCATTTGCAGCTGGGAAATGGTGTTGGTTTGCAACAGGGCCACAAAATTATTGCTGAAATGCGCTTCCAGCCTGCCCTCTGCAGACAGATGGCGTTACCCATTCACCAGTGATTTAGCCCAGCTCTAGCCGGATATGCTTAGAAACAGTCTGTGTAAAAGAGTACGGCGTGAAACAACAACAGCATATGTTGGAAATGAGATACGGCGAGCCAGGCGGGCTCTCAGCACTCTGGGAAGCGCATTGAGAAGTTGGAATGCATATCATGTAGCCTTAGTAAGAGCGTTGTCAGGGTGGATGCAGGGTTGGCCTGCTCTTATGGGGTTAATGAGTGGTGAGCCGCGGGGGCTTGAATACAGCAAGTGCCATTCAGTTCAAGATAACACAATTTTCCTGCAAAATGGGCCGATTTCTGGCAAGTTTGGCGATGTCTACCTCTCAAGCGGTCGAGGCCCATATCTCAGCTCCGAAATAGTCTAATAAAAATATTTTAGGGTGGTGGAGGCATTGCTCTCTGCGCACCATTTTTATCTAACTCATCCAACATTTAGATCTGCAAATTAGCCAACACCTAGGAAGATCACAGCACAGCAACAGCGAAATTCTTGGCACCTGCCTTCCTCGCGTTACTTTATGTTCACATTTCACTCCATGTAGGTACTGCAGTGCAAAAATAGACGCGTAATCATTGCCGATTAACTAATTTAATGTAAATATTACGTACGATATTGATTCATTTACCTTCGAATTTTCATTTTTTAGAGCGCTTCACATATAGATATTTGCGCGTTGGTCTCGACGAATATGGCGCGGGTGCTGCAACTAGAAAATGTGATTTAGTAGGATTTATTCTTGCAGTTAGATTCCGGCGTTGAGTTGTATTGAGAAGAGTTGAAATGCAAACTTATTGTATTTATAAATATAACATAAAAATAAGTGTAGAACAGGGTTGCCATCCAGTTCAATGGCGAAATCACCGTTTTAAATCATGTGACTAGTATCTACCAAGCTTTTCGTAGTATCAACCAAAAACCACACTGCGGGCTACCAAACTGTAGTCTCATGGTGACATCACGTCTGTGTAGCCTTCTCTAGTAGCCTGGCGTGTACCTGAATCCGATGCTAGTACTGAGCGACTACGCTAGCACGTGCCATGCTCCGGGTGCAGTCCTCTCACTAGGAGGCCGCGGCCGGTCGGCAGGCAAGAGCTGGGGCACGGCTGCTGGCGGGACGTGGCGCTCCTTCTCACGTGCACGCGTGCTGCAAAATTGATGTCGTGTGGTTGCTTGGAATGGTGAAATGAGCAACATTCATTTGGAGAACAGGCCAATGAGACATGCGCACTGACTTGACTGTCATGGCTGGAATGTCGGTGTCAGCACCTGCATAACCGTTGCGTGTGCTCTAAGCATCATCGTTTGATGACCCGCCAGAGAAGCGGCTGCCGGGCCGGATTTCACCCTGAGCACGCGCTAAGCAAAATTTCCTACTAGCTTTTTTGTATATTGAACTGTTCACCGGACGTAGTTCCACCCTGTGTACCAATTATAAGATATGGAGAGTTGCCCTCATATCCACTTGACTTTTATCGTAAATTTAGAACTGCCCTGAGCAAAACTTACTCATAATTGTGTGACCTATCCAGTCATCCAATGGCGTTCCATGTGCCTCTTTGTGTCCCTTATTTACAGAAAGAGCAAGGGCGAGTGCCCCCCCCCCCCCCCCACGTCAGTTCTAAGCTGGCGCGGAACCATGTTAGTGGAAGGTTTAAGTTGTACCATGAACTCTTTAACGAGCCGCAAATATTAGGTGACTGTGCACCGCGCAAATAGACAGCTTAGCTCGTTGCGAAAAATAAACACGTCGTGAGGCGGTGACCGCGGAGCCAATGGGACTCAAAACCATGCCGCCGGCTCGCTGATAGCTTTGAGCCATCCACCTGGTGTCATTCTCGACAGCCGGCGTGCTCACTCCAGTCGGCTGGAGCTCTGCGGACCCCGTCCTGGTGTTCCGCTGCCATTGTTTACTCACCCGGTATATCACACTGCAATGCGGGACGTCAATTGGGTGATATCAGTGATCCCCAGAGCAGAGAAGTGAAACGCCATGTGACTGGGCTCCACTGATGACTGGTGTGTTTCTACTCTCGCAGGCTGCATTTCCTTGTCCAGCTCCAAAACACACAGGCCTGTTCACGTGACAGCGCCCGTTCTGAGCGCCATCTGTCGGTTTTTTCAGTGGTGGACGGCGTACTGCACCGGGTCAATAACCCTGGTGACCCGTGCGAGGGGATGGTCTGCGGCGCCCGCCAACGCTGCCAGGTGGTGATGGCTTGCGGCAAGAGAGGCTGCCAGGGCCGCCAGCGTCTGGCAGAGTGTGTTTCCCGTGAGTACCAACCGCGTCTCTCAACTCGGCGTGACCTCCATGACCACTCACTCACGCCTTCAAGGGAGTGCTCCACATCTGAAGATATTGAAACAAGCGACAGATGTGATGGGATAAGCTCACTTTTAACAACTGGTAGAATTTTAAGTGGAAAACTTCTCCCGACAACACAATTTTCACTCATAAGAAGATACGATTCTCAATGCGTTATTGTTTGATTGCGTCATCGTACCTTGTGTGACGTTGAAGAGCTAACAGACGACGCTTACGTATGAAAATCATGCCCACGAAAGCCAGATGTGAATGATTCGACAATCATATTTCTCTTGGTCTTGATCGCTGCATGGCCAATAAATTGACAGGATTTACATGAGGTTATTACGGCGTTATGGATCTCTGGGTGACCTTGAAATGGTGACCACGAAATAACTACACATCTTTCAGGGTGTGTTGCTCAGAAACTAGAGGGGCTTACGTGTCAAGAAGGGCAGGGCTGTGAGCTGCATCGAGTTATCTTCAAGATCTCTGTTTTAGACGAAACCCTCATACAAATGTTAAGCACTCCCTTTAAAGGGAGCGTTTCACATTTTTATTGGGTTTGAGCTGAAAAAGACATATTGATTGACCCTCCCTGGCCATTCCCTGAAAGGGAGCGTTCGGCATTTGTATGGGGTTTTGAATCGAAATAGTCGTCTTGAACACCATTCGGTGCAGTTAACAGCGCTGAACATGTCACCTGAACCCCTCTAGTTTCGGAAATACACGCCCACGAAGATGTGCAGACTATTTCATGGTCACCGGGGCATCCATGACGCCATAATAACGTCATTTTAATGCTGCCACTCCACTGGCCACGCGACGATGAAGACAAAGAACAAGATCATTGTGCAGTCGTTAATGTCTGGCGTTCGTGAGCATGATTTACAGATATAACGACCCTCAATCGGCTCTTGATCAATGCTGTGCAAGTTGCGATGACGCAATCAAACAACGTCACATTGCGGAGCATATTTACTAAATATAGAGGCTGTCTTGTCTCGAGCAGTGTTTTACACTTAAAAATATAGTAATAGCTATAAGTGGCCTTATTTCATCGTATCTCATGCTTGCTACAATATCTTCAAAGGAAGAGCATTCTGTTTTATGGTAAGCCTGCCTTGTGTGAATACCTGCTGCGTCTTCTGAGGTCCTGGTGTCTCCGAGAAGCGGCAGGCCTTCTGGTAAGTCCCACGTCGTAATGTTAAGGTTGCCTTTCTCGGGGACCAGTCGTATCAATTTTGACATCGAGGTCAACGCGAGGATCACCATCAGCATTATCTCACGCCGTGATGGTATGCCCACTCTCGTAAACATCAACTGCGTCTCGTGAGGTCAGCGGGTCTCCCAGGGCGCTATCTCACGCGGTAATGGGCGGGGGCAGGTAATCGGCCATTTAGCTGAGTGGCGGTGGCGTTGCCGGCGGGCCGGTAGGTGCGGCTCCGCTATTTATGCGAGCGGCGGCGCCGGCCGTCCGACGGTCAGTCCCAGAGATGATCCATAACTGGCTGCACGGCGGCCTTGCGCCAGTTGCCCATGGACAAACGGCGGCTGGAGCGGCTCCGGCCCGGGGGCTCCGGAGGCCCACCGAGCAGGACCGGCCGAGGAAGGTAACGTCGTCCATCGGCGGCGGAGGCGCGCAGGATGGCGTGACTGGTGGCCAATTTTCCTGCTTGGGCGGACGTCGCGGTCCGCTCTTTTCTGTTCTGTACATGGGGCTGCTGCCGACGACAGCGGGGCCGACAGGGCGCAGGGGACGCGGTGTGCCGGTCACCGACGTGGTCCCGCCGGCCTGCCGTAGCCGAGCACGCCTGTATTAGACTTTCTTGCGTGCTGTGATGGCCTGCGAAGAAGCATATCAACTCCGTTTGTCTTTTTCCTGACCGTTCGTTTGGTTGTGGAGCGCCCCCTCAACTTAAAGTATTTCAGTGTCACTGCCGTGATGACAAGACATGCATTAGTGATCATCTTGAAGCTCCTGTTTCGCAATCAGAAAACTAGCTTCTAATCGACGGCAATTTTGATTTGTGTTGAATTGTCAACGTTATTGACCACAAGGCCAAGTGTCGACACAGCTTTTCACGATAAGCCGTGTCCATAGCATCAAAGCGTGACCGATTTCCCGTGAGCATTTAGCGAATTGAATCAATCCACAGATTGCGATGTAATCCGCGGGTCGGTTGGACAAGATCAGAAATTTCCTCTTAAACATGGATTAAGACCGGACCAAATTGTCACATTTGCCAGCTCACAGAGATCAGACGGATTGAAAACCGATCGTATGAAAATTTTCACTAAATGGTCGCTGAAATGCTCAATAGAGACGTAAACTCAGAAAAGTACATTTACTCTAATAACATACAGTAAATCCAATTACAACCAATGTACAAACAGGTTGCGTAGTCCATCACTCAGCCTCATATTCCTCAAACAAATTTTCCGATGAACAGATCACATTGACATATTAATGTCAGTGAGAGACACTCAAATATGCTTCTATGAAAAACTAGAGCTGGCATGTTTTTCAAGGTGACTGTAATGCCTAATAATCCACTAACCTATTCTATCATCACATAACTACCATTTTACCTGACCTTGCCAGCAATCCCATTTAACCCCAGTGGGTAGCATTGTTTTTCAGCGTGGAAAAACTAGACGGGAGCATGCTTGTTGGTATAAAGCACACCAAGGTCTTTTGCAATCCAAGGTCCTGCGTGGCGACATCGAGATCAAATTTACTCTTTGCCAGCACTTAAGTTCTTGTTAGCGTATTCAGTCCACCAAATTTGAGTTAGACGCAAGATTTAAAGTTAAGTATGCTGCTTGAACAGACCTATTATGGTGTCTGCCAGAACAGAGATTGTTGCATCCTCACAACTATTTGTTTACCCACTCTTTTCCCAATGAATGCATCTCAAATAATAAGCGCGTTGTCCTTTACAGCAAGGAATCAAAGATATCTTTCTCAACCAGCAGTTAGATGCTTGATGTTAGCTTGGTGCTCTTTGCATCCAGCAAAACACTTTGGCATTATACGGGTACTTATTTTTTGTACTGTTTTTTATACTCTCGCTTTATTACCCATGCATAAATTGAACGCCAGCAGTGCGTTTTCATCCCGTGTGGTTCTCCTGTAATTATTTGAAAGGCCGAAGGCTCTTTACAAAGAAAGTCGGGAAGTAAACGTGGGTGAACATGGAGATAAACGTGGGCAAACGTGGAGATAAAATGTGACGCAACATTGTCAATGTATGACAAACTTTTTTTGTTCACTGTGTAAATGTGACTTCATGTTACTTCAGCGGTCCGATACACGATTTCAAATTCAATAGCTCTCGTATTTTTATTCCACGAGCAAAAAAGGGAGATCTGGTAGCATATGCCTTTTAAGAAATGGGGTTCAAAATGACGCAATTATTTCATCATCTTTGATGGTGACGCTGCACGCGCCTAACAACTGATAGTCACGCGCGTCTATTGTAACTTCGACTCAGCAGGTAATCTAGCTAGACATAGTGGTCGCGGTTGAGATTGTTCACCAATTAGTATATCTGAGAACGAATGCACAGATGAATTACCATATATGAAGTGAGATGGTCGTTTTATTCATTTAGGAGGCATACTGGATGGGCGTCGTCCTGCGCCCGTAAATAAGGTACCGCTGACACCATCGAGTTGCTCGTGGAGATAGATATCTTGCAGCTAACCGAGAGTCTGCAATTGTTAGAGGTTCTCATGCCTTTAGGTTATTGAAACGAAAAGCGATTTTAGCCCTTGCAATGTAGCGGTGTTTGTGAATCATTGGTTAAGATAGTCATGATATTTTTAATGACATGATACGCCTTGTTTGTTCTGACTATGTTACCTCAGTATCTCATCTCAGTATCTTATCTTATCTTATCTTATCTATCTTACGCATTTTAGCACCCACTGATTTATAGCAACACATTACACATTTTTTTCGAATGAAAATCGACAACTAACTCAAATTTAAGATAACAGATTGGATCTGAGCTAGCCGGACGGGACTGGACCGAAAATGCAATCCATGACGTGCTCTTATTTCCGGTGAGCAGTCTGTAGGACCTAGTCAGGATACTTGACGAGAGTGCATCTACGTCAAGGTGTTCAATGAGACCAACCTTCCGAGACCGTCATTGTTTCAATGAGACCAGCTTTCCTATTGGCCATGGTGAGGCGTTTACTACTACAATAAGACCATCCCAACGCCAGGCCGTGGCGGCCTTTTCCTGTTGCTTAGGGAAGTCCAGTTTACCACTGTGTCATAACAAGGCCCTCCATTGACAATGTGAGGCTAACCCTGCACCATATTCTTCCATCACTGCTGAGTGAGCCACACCCGCCGCTGCAGGTGATGACAAGGTGTCGTCTTGTCGCAGGGAGCCACCCAGCATGTCACCACTGCCGCACAGACGAGGTGTGTGTGCTGAAAAAGCACTGCGCCTTCTCCGAGAGGTGCCCGGGAGCCATGCAGTGCATGTCCCGCGGCTACCACGGCTGAGCTCAACCGACCTGCAAGCGACCTTCAGACGACCTTGAAGCGACCTTGAGGCGACCTTGAGCCCCGTGATCGCTGCGCCACAGACTTCTGGCTCCGGGCCATCAGATCATGATGCGTGACGACCTCCCACGGCACGGCGTGCCCAAACTGTGCGCTCTGCTGACAGCATTTCAAGCAGTGCACAGCACACAGTGCGCACAGTGCGCTTGCGTGCGCAAAGTGAGCGCTGGGTGGAGGAGTGACGTTCCTCTCGGCCCCAGCGGAACGCGTGACATTTCGAGGAATGCAGAGCTGAAGTGTGGCGTCACTCGGTGAGGAACGCCCGGACGTTGGATCAGCGTTTGTGCGTTCAAGATCATCGTGAAGGAGCACGTTGATGATAGCAGAGGGGACTGGGAGTTGTGCGAAAGCAGACGTCAGAAATCGAATCACAGCTAGTTAGTGTAGATGTGAGGGCTTTAGAGGAGCTGACATAGAGATTCCGCATGCTTGACATCTGGATGAGCTGGTATCTATAATCATTTGCACACTAAGCACTGAAACATAAAACGCTCCACATTTATGCAAAGCATAAAGATGGTCCTCCCGCAGGAAGTGCTGCCGATGAGCGAATGACGTTTTTTTGTAATCTGTGCCTTGTTCTTTGCATGCAGCGAACCAGCCACTTTATTGCATATGCCAGTGATATGCACATGGAAGTGTCCTAATCTTATTTTCTATTGCTTTGGCAAAGTCTGTCAGTCTGTGATCAATAATTAAGACTTAAGCTTTGATGTCTACAGAAGTGCGTGTAGTGTAACTCGTATATGTATAGTAATACACTTTACGAAAACTCTTGGGTTACCGGCTACAGAGACTGACATTGCGGACAATCGTATGATGACTAGTCATTCACAATCGCCCACAATGCAAACATATGTTCCGTACTACTGCTACCGTTTCATATACGTTGAGTAATAAGTGACAAAAATGTCAGCAACGTGAAAGAGGTTAAAAGCAATAACTCAGATGAAAATCCCGGCTTAGGTAATTCCCTGGCGTGATTTGGATTCACAACAGGATCGTGCGTATTCTACCTCAGATGCAAAGGCCTTGTGAAATACTTCCTAGGAGGGGAGAGGGTAAAACAGCATGAACTGTTGTACCAAACACCTACCAACCAATACATCCACCGACATCACTTGGCTCGGCCGGTCACTACTCTCATTCGCCGGAAGCAGACCATACCAATCACGCTGGAACTGAGCGCAAACAAGGCACCTCACATGCGGGGAAAAGATGCCGCACCTGACAAAAAAGGGACTGGACAATGCGCACACACCTGGCGGCACCATTGGGCCTTAAGCGACCAAACGGAGCACCAACGAGCGCCAGAAGATCGAACGATCGTGTGCAGGTATCGCCGTAGGGCAGTGCTTCTGCTCCCCCTCTCCACTAGCTTCAGTCACAATGTTGCTGATCGCACGGGACGGAGGTGAAGGCTGTTGGCCACCGAGAGGCGCCAACCGAGAGGCGGTGAAGGCTGTTCTCTCCGACTCCGACTGGTCAGCGTCGGTAGACGGAGCCGACGGAGTCACGTCTGCGTCTGCGCCCGACGATTCTGCGACAGGTGCGAGTAGAAGAGCGGGTTGCCAGTCGGCCGGCGAGCAGAAGAACGGCGCACCGGCCGGCGAGCTGAGAGGCTGTTCCCCCAGATGTCGCGGCGAAGCAGCGGTCCGTGCAGAGGGACCGGACCGCGTGGACCATCTCGGCGACATGACCAGGGGGTATCAGCGGCTGATACGCCGGCCGTGCTGATCGCATTAGGTGAGTTCTCTCGCACACTGTCACGTGTATCTGTAGTCATCTGTCACGTGCATCTGTGGTCATCTGTCACGTGCATCTGTGGTCATCTGTCACGTGCATCTGTGGTCATCTGTCACGTGCATCTGTGGTCATCTGTCACGTGCATCTGTGGTCATCTGTCACGTGCGTCTGTGGTCATCTGTCACGTGTATCTGTGGTCATCTGTCACGTGCGTCTGTGGTCATCTGTCACGTGCATCTGTGGTCATCTGTCACGTGCATCTGTGGTCATCTGTCACGTGCATCTCGCCCGCAAGGGCGAACAGTTGAATCACGTGCCGTTCGTGTATCTCTCCCGTCTCAAACTGAACCCTGAACGTGGGTAGAGACAACGAATGACACAGTCCTTCTTATCCTCTGCCTTGCTTCATCCTGCATGCTCGCTCCGCTCCGCTCGTCCGGGGCAGGCTGCATGCGTCAGCCACGAGTGGGCCGAGAGCCCCGTGAGACGGGGTCAGGTGCATGCGAGTCTGTTCCATCGGTAACCATTTTCCTTCATCCCATAGCTCTGAAATAATCCTTTCTGGCCGAAAGGGCTCAAATAAAAACCTAAAAACCAAACGTACGAATGACAGTCACTGGTCGCTAGGTGGTATAGCAAATGTGGTCTACATGGGTGAGTGCTAGGCCATCTGCTCTCAACATAGGCGAAGTGATGGTTCTGTGTTTATGATGTTTTTACTGCTTTACTCATGCTGCTTAAGCCTGGTTTCGAGCGGTCGAATCTCATGGCGAGCTTAAAGCTGAAGATGAGACTTGAAGCTGATTCACCCATAGTAGCACGTGGAATAGCTCTGTTGACAAAAGGTAATTTAGAACTACTGGCGCCTAATTCAGCTTACTGGGGCTGCTTACTGCTATTGCTCACTGGATCTGCTGTCAATTCTCCGATGCGGAACTTCAGTTCCCTGGCCACCACTTTAGCTAGATCGTTGGCCTTCAGCTTGTAATGAGCACCGACCCTGTGCATAATACCACTCTGTAAAAGATAAGCTTGAAATTGTGAGCTGATGAATATGGGGCACTGTCAGAGGTGATTGAATCGGTCAGTTAACACCGACTAAACATGCACGTAAAACATGATTGTGTTGTTGCTGCAGCCGTCATTTCGTCGACCTGCATACATTTCGAGAACGAGTTCACAACTACGAAACAGTGCTTTCCGTTCACACATCCTGCAAAATCAACGTGCGACTCAAACTTGGGGCCATGTGGCCAGTGCCATCGGAAAAGGCCTTCCTTCGCGGTGTCACAGCGATGGAACTGGCGGATTTCACGAATAGACCATAAACTTTTGACCTCTTTACCAATGCCAGGTCACCAAACTGACGATACGGCCATGGACTTCGTCTTAACTGCGCCAAAACTGTCGACATGCTGCTCAGAAAAAACTTTCCGCCACCTTGGGGAATAACAGCACGTATGCCTCACATGATAACGTCATCCGGCACGCGCGACTCAGTTTAGTGTCAACTGCAGGGTTGAGGGCCTTCGCTAGGATTTTATGACCAGCCCATTTGAAAACAGCGTAGGACTTGGCCAAAATCTGAGGCATGTGCTGCCGACATCCCCAGCTTTTTGGACTGAGGCTGCCTATACATTTGAACTCGGAAGCGAGCAGAACATTTTCGGCTTCGCTTTCGTCGCCATCTTCGCACAACTTCCGCCGTTTACTAAAAGCTTGCTGATAAAAGCTTGCTAACACCTAAAGCGTGAGGAATTTTGGAGGTGGCTTTGTGACGAATGATTTTGGTAGCATATAGTCAGACACGTACCCATGCTTTGATCTACCGCTAGCCATTTCTGGCATGTTTTTCGCGTCGCCCAAAAATGTCCGCAAAGGCTGGTGATCAGTTCCTTGCATGAATGCTGTACCAGACAGGTAGTCCTGGAACGCAGCGTTACCAAAGACGATTTCTGAGGCTTCATGCTCAATTTTGACTGCAACTCATCTGGGCAGCGCTGCCGTCAAAAGTCAAAAACGCGTAACTAGCAACTTCATAATTGTTCAGGAGAACGCTTTTTGTGTTATTTCGGTGTCATGGCCGTAAACCAGAACCAATGGGTAGAAATTGCACACCAATCGGATGCGAAAGCCATTCTCTATCTAGCAGTGGAAAAACGAAAATAGCCGGAAACAACTTAAGTCTTAACTGCTGAGGATGTTTTTTGACATGGGAAGACGGTATTCAAACCTGACGGTAGTCAAAGTCAAAAAGGCGTATCTGGGCGAAAACGCGTATCTGATAATATACGCGTTTCTGTCAATTGTAAAAAGGGCCCCAGCAACGTCTCTTATCTCGGCAAAAACAAGTATTTGTGGAGTGAATCGTTATTTTCCTATGCACTTGCTAAGCATCGTATGGGCGATTGAACAGCTCCACGGTACCAGAGAAGGGTGCCTCCCAGTCTCCTTCATAAGCAATTCAGGGGCGGGGAACGTCTCTGTAAAAATGAAGCTCTTGCTGGGTGTAGAGCGTCAGACATGGTGCCAGACGTACCCGTTGTGCATGACAGAATGGCGGTAGGTTCTTAGTGATAAATAACCACGGTTAAGCCCCGTGGTATAAACATACCGAAGCTCGGTTCACGGTCTTTATTAAAAAACGATCCTAGAGAGCATCGCTAATTCCCATTCTATCCATTTGTCAGCTGCGCCTTCACAAAACCAGCAGACGATGGAGGATTAGAACGCATATGTAAATACATTTGGACATAACTGCTTCTTGATGACGTAACGCACAACTCGATCCATGTGGTCATCAAAATGGCAACGGAAGTCACAAAATCCCATACAGTTCAACACCGTAAAGTTAAAGGGTGACAGCATCCAATCGAAAACAGTTGGCGGCATTAATGCACGTTGGTGGAGCACCTTGCATCCGATCAATGTCTTCTTCCAAACTTCGTCTGAGCATGACAACGAATTCTTCAGCTCCAATGCCGCTCAATCAATGATTCAGATCAGAATTCCGATGCCGCCAGCGAAAGGGGTACTGCTCCAACCACACAGCGCAACACACTAACATCGCCCTCCTTCGAGGGCTGTCTGTCGGGAGCGTCGCGCCACGAGTGCAAACCCTCAGTTAGAATTCAGGTCTCGTATGTTGTGGTGGGCACCGTTTTGTAGTTTTCTCCAGAACATCCTTTTGTGCGCAGTCATGAGTGGAAGCAGGTTGCCGCACAAGCGGTCAATTTTCACTTTGTTGACGCCACGCGGCGCTCCCTGTGGTCCATCTTGGTGTCCAGCTGGACTTTGTTTTTCACCAGATCATAGACTTTTTCACCAGATCATAGACTTTGTTTCTCACCAGATCATAGACTTTGTTTTTCACCAGATCATAGA